CGTATTGACATACGTGTGGTTCACTACTACGTGTCATATTAGTGTCAACCGGTGCTGTTTGTTGTCGTTCTGGCCCGCAGTAGTGAACCGCTCTCTGTCGTTGCGTCTTTCTCTGTCCAACAGCATGAGGTTCACTACTGCGGGCCAATGTCTATCTCGCATGAGATGTTTGTTGGAGTTCTGGCCTGCAGTAGTGAACCTCTCGCTGGTGCTGCGTCTTTGTGTTTCCAACTACTTGTGGTTCACTACTGCGTGCCATATCAGTGTCAACCGGTGCTGTTTGTTGTCGTTCTGACCTGCAGTACTGAACCACTCTCTGTCGCTGCGTCTTTCCCTGTCCAACAGCATGAGGTTCACTACTGCGGGCCAATGTCTGTCTCGCATGAGATGTTTGTTGGAAATCTGGCCCGCAGTAGTGAACCTCTCGCTGGTGCCGCGTCTTTGCGTTTCCAACTACTTGTGGTTCACTACTGCGTGCCATATCAGTGTCAACCGGTATTGTTTGTTGTCGTTCTGGCCCGCAGTAGTGAACCGCTCTCTGTCGCTGCGTCTTTCCCTATCCAACAGCATGAGGTTCACTACTGCGGGCCAATGTCTGTCTCGTATGAGATGTTTGTTGGAGTTCTCGCCCGCAGTAGTGAACCTCTCGCTGGTGCTGCGTCTTTGCGTTTCCAACTACTTATGGTTCACTACTGCGTGCCATATCAGTGTCAACCGGTGCTGTTTGTTGTCGTTCTGGCCCGCAGTAGTGAACCGCTCTCTGTCGCTGCGTCTTTCCCTGTCCAACAACATGAGGTTCACTAGTGTGGGCCAATGTCTGTCTTGCATGACATGTTTGTTGGAGTTCTGGCCCGCAGTAGTGAACCTCTCGTTGGTGCTGCGTCTTTGCGTTTCCAACTACTTGTGGTTTACTACTGCGTGCCATATAAGTGTCAACCGGTGCTGTTTGTTGTCGTTCTGGCCCGCAGTAGTGAACCGCTCTCTGTTACTGCGTCTTTCCCTGTCCAACAGCATGAGGTTCACTACTGCGGACCAATGTCTGTTTCGCATGAGATGTTTGTTGGAGTTCTGGCCCACAGTAATGAACCTCTCGCTGGTGCTGCGTCTTTGCGTTTCCAACTACTTGTGGTTCACTACTGCGTGCCATATCAGTGTCAACCTGTGCTGTTTGTTGTCGTTCTGGCCCGCAGTAGTGAACCGCTCTTTGTCGCTTCGTCTTTCCCTATCCAACAGCATGAGGTTCACTACTGCGGGCCAATGTCTGTCCCGCATGAGATGTTTGTTGGAGTTCTGGCCCGCAGTAGTGAACCTCTCGCTGGTGCTGCGTCTTTGCGTTTCCAACTACTTGTGGTTCACTACTGCGTGCCATATCAGTGTCCACCGGTGCTGTTTGTTGTCGTTCTGGCCCGCAGTAGTGAACCGCTCTCTGTCGCTGCGTCTTTCCCTGTCCAACAACATGAGGTTCACTACTGCGGGCCAATGTCTGTCTCGCATGAGATGTTTATTGTCGTTCTGGCCCGCAGTAGTGAACCTCTCTCTCTCTCTCTCTCTCTCTCTCTCTCTCTCTCTCTCTCTCTCTCTCTCTCTCTCTCTC